CCGTTATTTCTTCCCCCCCCCCCCCCCCCGCCTCATCATCACCCCTACCTAACAGGCACTCCAAAAAAAAAGCCAAGAGTGATGCCGTAGCCGACGCCATCAACAAGTCAGGCGGGCAGGCCATCTCCGTCCCAGGAGACATCATGTCGCCGGCCTACATCCAGAGCCTCGTGTCCAAGGCGGCCTCGTTCGGCAACGGCAAGATCCACATCATCGTCAACAACGCCGGGTACACGTGGGACGGGGTCATCCACAAGATGACGGACAAGCAGTGGGACACCATCATCGCGCTGCACTGCACCGCGCCCTTCAACCTGGTGCGCGCCGCGGCGCCCTACTTCCGCGTCCGGGACGGCGAGCCGCGGTCCATCGTCAACGTCTCGTCGACGAGCGGCGTGCACGGCAACGCCGGCCAGATCAACTACGCGCTCGCAAAGGCCGGCATCACGGGCTTCACCAAGACCATCGCCAAGGAGTGGGGGCCGCAGTTTGGCGTGCGCGCAAACGCCGTCGCCTTTGGCCACATTGCCACGCGGTTGACGGCGGCCAAGGAGGAGGGCGCGTTTGTCACGGGCCCGGACGGGCAGAAGATTGCGCTGGGGATTCCGCAGAAGCAAAAGGGCGCCAAGGCCGCCGCCGGCGCGGACGGTGCTGCGTATGCCGACATTCCGCTGCGGAGGCCCGGCACGGCTACCGAGGCCGCCGCGAGCATCCTGGCCGTCGCGAGCCCCTTGTTTTCGTACGTTTCTGGCCAGACCATCATGGTGACGGGTGGGAGGAACATGTAGACGCCGCTCTGGGGAATATCGTCGAATGCCCTTGCGTGTATTGTACATAGATGAGACGGAGCTGAGCCATCTTGGTCTTCGTGGGCCTGCGAGAATGAAATCAGTACGGGAAACAATCAAAATCTTCCAGTTAGCAGCCATGCTTTGACGTTTTTGTTGACTGTACCGTGCAGTTACCACAATCGAAATGACCCGTGCTTGAAATGGGCATGCATTTTCTGATCCCACTTCAGTGTATCTGTAGTCGAGCTTCGTTGGTTCTAGTAAAAAAAAGTATATATATTACAAGTAACGTAGCTCCCTCATTATTACTTTACGTTCCCGCCTCGGCCCACGCATGTGACGTCGTTCCATCCGTCTATACCTTCAACCACAATGAAAACACACCCTTGGCATATTCGACAATTTCTGAACCGCCGAGCTTACTCTCGCCGTACAACCTGTCCACAAACGAAATGGGCACCTCGGCCACCGTGCACCCCATGGCCTTGGCGCGAACCATCATTTCCATCTGGAAGCTGTACCCCTTGCTTTCCGTGCTGCTAATCACCTTCTCCAGCACGCTCTTCTTGTACAGCCGGAAACTGCCCGTCAGATCGCTCACGCCAGGACGCAGCACCGTGTCCGCAAACAAGTTGGCGCCACGGCTGACAAACTTGCGCTTCAGGTCCCAGCCGTAGACGCCGCCGTTGCCAGCGTACCGCGTGCCCGTGACAATGTCGTAGTTGCCCGACTCCTGGAGCGCAACCATCTGTGGGATGAACTTTGGGTGGTGCGAGAAGTCGGCATCCATGATGATGACAAAGTTGCCGGTGACGAACTGCAGGCCGTGGACGTAGGCGGTTCCGAGACCGAGCTTGCCGGAGCGAGTCTTGAGGACGACGTGAGGAGAGTAGGCTTTGACCAGCTGGTTGGCAACTTCTTGGGTGCCATCGGGCGAGCCGTCGTCGACAATGATGAGTTCCCAATCGAGTTTGCTGTTGCCAATTGGGGTCAGTCTTGAACTGTGCATGCTGCACACGAGTCAGAGGAGGGGATACCTCTCGGAAAAGGTGCGGTTCAGCAACCACGTCATGATGGGCAAGTTTCGACGCTCATTGTACGTTGGCAAAATCACCGAGTACTTGTTCTTGGAGGCTTTGGCGGGAGCCATTGTGAGAGAAGCTGACGAGTGAAGAAATCACAAAAAAATGAAGCATGTGCTGCGCGAATGGAAAGACGGCAAGGTGCTTCGGCGACGAAATAAGGAGCGTAGTCAAGTTGGGCTGGTGTATCGCGTAAAAAACAGAAAGCTTCAAGTGTCTTTCTGAACGTGTCGCAACCCCGTGCTTCTTTGGCCAGCATGTCACGATGTGCCTGTGGTGTCAGGTCCACATTTTGTATGACTAAGCAAGCATGTGCGGCCTGGCGCTCGGGACCCAAGTACATTTGCGCCCCTGAAATGGATGGATGGATGGTGAGCCTTGGCGAATCGAATCGATGTTGAACACAATCATGGGACGACGAAATGATTCCATCATCTGGTAATGTTTACACTCCGCCACTTTTGCGAAATTGACTTCTGGATAGCCGTCTGGATGCGCTGCCGCAGCTTGTCTTGAACAAGCCATCTACTCGATGCCCCCCTCCGGAGAGACGCATCGAAGTTGGGTGTAGGCACGAGATCACAAGCGATATTCTCCATTGCTCCAATGCCTCATTACCGACAGGTTCGACGGTCCAGCGCCCAGTGCTGTCTGGTGCCTATGTATCCCATGCGTGCAGCGGGAGGGTAGCTGCACCATTGACCTTCCACAACAAACGAAGGCCTAAACTCACCAGCCACTCAGACGCTTCCCACGTTCTCGAGCAACCGGCTCGAGAGCATCAACTGACCAAATCCAACAGACAGCCACTCACTCCTCCATCATGCCCTGTTCAGATTGCTGGCCGTTCGCTTCAAAGCAACAGCGGTCCCTTGTATTACCGCTCGACTTCAGTTCGAGCAGAGAGTACCGAGAAGGCCTTGTCTGGTTCTTCCAAGGTCTTCCCCTCACTGCCAACTGCGGCGAAGGGATCTGCTTTTCGATGCTACGATTGGACGCAGCTGGCTGTTGAGCCATGGCCCATGTTCAAAAATCGGTGGCTTGCGCGATGGTGGATGTTTGCGGCCCACCATCTTCTGCATTTCTCCTCCCCGAAGCCTGTAGCTCGTGTCTCTGGTGTTTGCTGCCGCAGCCTATCAAGCGCTGGAGACTGAGCCCGAAGCACGCCTAAGCTTTCCCTTCTCCGCAAATGGAGCGCAGCATCCTGGAGTGAAGGTCCTGGAGTAATCCTGGAGCGTCGCCGTGGTACCGTGGTCTGGCCGTTTCGATTGTTTGGATCCGCACCGTCTATGGGCATGCGAATACCGTCGAGATCACCTTCAGCCTTGGGCCCCCTTGTGTTGTGTGCTCGGTAACCTGTGACTGCCAGAGGCGAGTACCATTTTTTTTTTCAACTCTGGCTTGGTCATGCTGCCCAGCCAATGCACCCAGGTCTCAGATACGACCGGGCTCGCTTTTGGATGGCTAGTCCATCCACGAGGTTGGCACGCAATGTGGACTGTGTGGGCGGCATTGGGGGTAGCTAGCTTGGTCGTGTCGCCTTCTACTAAACGTACATGTAGATATCTGAACCTGGTACACACTGTCAGTGGCGTGTGTGTACGGAGCAGCAGTGACGCAGGCATCGGGGTACTTGGCTCAAACTCGCATCCAAGGTATCTCACCACCCGAATGTGCGGGTGAGGAACACACCGCGTTCGCCATTCCGAAGCTATATTTGACTGTTTCCTGCTTGTGGAACCGGCCGCGCCCTCTTTAACTCTTCACGGAGGCATGCATTGGCCAGTGCCGAAAAGGCCAGCCTTTGCCTTCGTTCCCCCGTTTCGCAGCTCCCTCCGGTTTACCGGCTTCAGCTTGCCTCTCTCTGCCTCATCTCTACCTCATCTCCCTCTCAACTCACTCTGCGCTGCTTTCGCCTCTTGTCCATAGGAGTACGGCATCGTCATCAAATATCTCCCTGCCGCATGAAAACTGACATTCTTGGATTCCTCATCGTCCCGAATCTCCTCACCTGTTCGTTCTTATAGACCTCCCTCAGCCGCAGAGGCAAGCTTGATCACTCGCTACAGAGCCTCTCGCGGTACTCCGTACCACCCACCTTACGTCATCCGAGCTCACCACCCACGTCTGCCACCACAATGACCGACACCAACGTCCCGGCAGTTGAGAAAGGTGAGAATCGCGAAATATTGGTCGCGTAATATTGTTGTGTGAGGATATTGGGTCGCTTGAATTCGCTGATGCTCACAATGCCCGCGAATTGTATCGATTGATGTATTTGCGAGTAATTGGTTGTTGCCCATGCCTCTCAGTGCGAACTGACCAACAAAGTGCTGCCGAATGACTGGACCTTTGTCATCATTGCAAGCTGACTCGTCATTATATATAGTCTCTGGTCTTGGTCCAGATGATGCGAAGCCGCCGGTTGGAGCTCCTCCTCCAGAAAGACAGCCATTTCTCGCCGTCTGTCCTCCCGCACCAGCTCACAAGAATGAGAAAGACGACGCCGGACTCACGGACAAGCCGGTTGACAAGCCGGGCGAAAAATTGGTCCAGCCGGCCGGAGAGAACAAGATAAACGGTGGCACCGGCCATGGTTCTACTCTCCCAAAGCCTGTCGAGGTTATGTCTGTTCCAGAGACGCCTGTCAATGGATCGACACCCGCTGGAGGAACGCCCCGACCAGAGCTCACAATCTCGGAGGACCCAGCACCGCCAGCACCCGAGCCTCCCAGTGAGCCGATCATCGAACCCGTCGAGATGACGGGAGTTGAGAAACCAAAGCCCACCCCTGGGACTTCTGTGCCTGACGAGAAGCATACTCCTTCTTCTTCGGATGTGCCTGCACCTCGTGAAGAGCCGGTGCAACAGTCATCAGTCGCCAAGGCTCCCGAGCCGCCCATGAATGATTCTCCTGCCAGTGGAGCCATGGATGTCGACAAGCCTGAGGAGAAGCAGCCCGCGCCAGTGACGCACACTGGGCCCGAATCAGAGCCTGTTCCTGCCCCGGCCCCTGCCCCAGCGGAACTTCCAGACGCGCCCCCCATCACCACTGCCGAGCAGCCTGCGCCTATCCCAACCGCTGGGCCTAACGACAATGCTGTCGGCGGGAAACGCAAGCTTGACAATGTCGTTCCGCCAGTCGATGGCTCATCCGCGACAGCCAAGCCTCCTACCCAAGATCCAGCTGCTTCGGATCCTCTTCCACTGGAGAAGAAGCCAAAGCTCGATAAAGACGCAGCCGCCAATGGACAGGCAGCTAAAGCCGCCACAGCATCAGATCCTGCTTCTAATGCTGACCCAGCCTCTGAGCCAGCACCGGCGCAAACCGCCAAAGAACCCCCCCAAACGTTCCCCAAGAATGGTAAACCAAAGAAGGAGAAGAAGCTTCCACCCGTGGGCAGAACGGCACGCAAAACCAGAAGCCAGGGGCCGGCGGACGCTTAATCGAGCAATGGATTGGGGATCGGATACATGCACGTAGGAGGAGTTACATACAATGAAATGACTTTTGATCCAGGTTTCGGAGGGCGGGATGGAGGCAACATGGTGTTTTGGGCTCATGAGACGAGGTCTGACATTGATTGAGCTGGACGTTTTGTGCAGCGTCACCCGAACAAATGGCGTTAGGGGTGAATGTTATTTATCATTGAAGTTTGGTGTATCAGATGTCGTTCAATACACGTTGACTTGGTAACCGCAACGGGCACTCCTTCCTTCCTTGGTATTCGTTTTGCGCCCCAAGAGGAGTCTTGATTGGTAACTGACACGGCTTGCATAATTACATTCAACGTCTCTTGTTGACTCCTTTTCTCTAAGGGCAGAGGGGGAGGCATTCACTTTTACAATATTACACACCCGGAATCATTTGTTCTTTGCCAAACGGACATTCCTACTTTGTGCGACGCCGCGGGAAGCAGAACGAACCTTGTATCACGATGGATGGCCCGATGCCAGGAATGCATCTCCCCGATCAGCCGTGGTGCCATAGATGGGAATCTGCCGCCTAGCACTTGGCCTGTGTGTATGATGACATGGAAGGGCTTCATGGCCACATTCTTGCCTTGACTTCATTTAGGTGTTGACCAAGACCGAGGACTAATACTGTGCGACTTTTAGTTGTGTGTCGTATGCTTGACGAAGAAGGGGTTTGCAGTGAAAACAACAGCATATGGTGTTCGGGACCTGAGCGTATAAATCGTGTATTCATTTGACAGATTTAAAAGGATTTCTGACAGACCAAGAACGCGGCATCGACCTTGACAATGCACGGAGCACAGTCAAGTCACGAGCCGCCGCAAAACAAACACCCAACGTGCGTAGGATTAGAATATCGGATGGAACACCAAAAAAGAAGAAGAAGACGAAAAGATTGCATCTGCCACGCTTAGCCACCCTGCCCTACCTCTATGGCGTCTGCTCACACCGTGCCCAGCCATCAGCAATAAAGAGAAGCCGCCGGATTTTTCAAATTGACTTCTCGAGCCTGTCGCACGCCTGCATTGCCATGTTCTTGATCTTGATGCACTCGTCCATGGTGCAACGGGCCCAGAGGCACGGCTTCGACATCTTGGTTATGACCCTCTTGTGGATGCAGCCGCACTTGGTGTCGGAATGGGCACACCCGGCCTCGTCGAAGCTACGCTTCAGACAATCGATCTAGGATTTCACAGTCAGCGGGCCATGTACTCCAGCAGCTATGACGCTTGACTGAGTGCATTTCTTACAGAACACCCGGGATAGTGGTTGAATGGGCCAGTCGTGTGAGGGTCAAGCAAGGTTGAGCGGGCGGGCGCGACGGCGGCAGCGGAGGCGGCGGCAGCGCAGATGGCGATGAGAACAGCGGTAGGCTTCATGCTGATGATTCTTGTAATTTTTCTTGTGCAAATCCTTTGAAGTTTTTGTTTTATGTTCTTTTGGAGTTTTGTAGGATGCGCAAGAGCGGGTTAAATGTGAAGAGGATGGGGGAAATGTTCGGCACGATGGAAAGGATAGTGATTTATTTATGCCCGGGTCGGAGTCTTGAGAAGCAGGCTATTTGGAAAGTTTATTTAGAGCTACATAGGGTAATGTTTGTTTCGGCCTGTACGCCGATGCTTTTTTGTAGAGATTCGTTTCCTAGACTCGTAGCCTGAACTTACGTGCTTAGTGTAAATGTAAAGTAGTAAGGTACGCAGCATCGTCTTTTCAAAGGCTAATTCTCGATTGAAAAAGTAAACGAATATTGAAATACTTTACATGCTGTATTTGATAGTCAAGTTGTCGACTTTTTTCTGGACATGGAGACAGGTATCAAGTGTTGATCAAGTTGTTCTCATCAACGTCTCTGTTCGAATGTACAGAAATCATGAGGAGGCGTCTAGTTGTTGCCAATATGGTAACACAACTTTGTAGGCGTAGTCTGGCATTTGTTCTGCTTTGGCTTGGGTGCTTACACAAAGTCCCGTGCCGTCTCTGGTAACCAACTTGCCAACTACCTAGGAGCATACGACTGTATACCGGTCACAGTCCAGGACCATTTTCGTCCCCACTATTCACCTCTCCGTCGGGAGCCAAGGTTCTAGACTGGAACTTTAAAGCTTAGCCCGGGACTCGATCGACGCCCGGTACACGCGTCATGGTCACTTGTCCTCGGCGTTTGTTGCGAACTTGCCTATACTGTTGACATACAGTCTGTAGCAGAATATTTGCCCACCGAGAAGTATATACTAGTATACTACAGTATAGTGTAGTATAGAGCGCGATAGCCAGGGACCTGATTTGGTCAAATATTTTTTGTCTCCCACTGTAAGGGACCTATTTGAGGTGTTGATTTTACCTGAAGCGTATTCAGCAATAGGCTGGCTTGGTAGATATGGGACGGTCTGAGTGAAACTTCATGTCATGCGTGGCGACAAAGAGAAATTTTTCGTCTCGTCGTTCTCGTGGCTTGCAGTCCTGCATGCGCCAAGTGCATATTCTTGTATTTCAGGCATTTGAAACGCGCAGCCACAGCGCGGTTGGTTTTTGGGGCGTAGGACAGCATTCGACGGTGTGTACCCCGTACGAAGCATCCCGTGGGGAGTTCTTGTTCGTGGACGCCGGGCCATCGTCTCGGGCGGGCCTGCAATTAGTATAATTCAGAGCTGGAATGTGGCAGGACACAATACGTACGTCGCAATTCAACTCGGCTTTTCATCTCCTTGCTGTAGAAGAATGGGAATAGAGAAAGCAACAGTGCGTGCTAAACCCACACTCATACCGTGCGTCATGAAAATCTCTCTGAACCGGACCCTAACCGCCCGCATTCTATTACCTTCGGCTCCTCAGGAGAACATTCCTACCCGCCTCGTATTCTTCATCCACTAGCAGGAATTCAGTGCTCTCCATGCATGACAGTGGGAACCCAATAAGGCGCTAGTAGAGAAGCCTGGCCCATCAGGGGAGGCGCTGTCAAAAATAGCATACAACCGCCCGTCAACAATGGCATGGCGTACGGGCTGTGGTGTTGGAAACAGTCCTGGCTTCTTCCAGAGGGCCGCCGTGGGATCACTGCAGATCAAACACAGCGAAAAGTTGGCGGTGAATCAGGCGACCGGCTGCAACTCTAAGACCAAGAGCCAAGCAAGTTTTGAATGCCATCTTGCCGATGTCCAAGGCAGACCAATCCCTGGACGGCCTTTGCTCCCATGAAAAACCACGCATCAAAGGGTACCGTACAATACCCAGTACCGCCGCACTGGTTGCTACTGCGCGTCCTGTGTGCTTGGCCCTGTGATGATTCATCGAGGTATTTCCCACGGTGGCACGTTTGACCCACACGCCTTCAGGAACTTGTCCATGAATTCTCCATATTGTCCTCGCGGGCTGCCCCCTAAGGGTCCACTGTGGCTATTGGCTTGTAGGGGTACGGACACCTAAAAGTTTCAGTGTTGACTTCTATAGAAATTCAGGTTGACTCTCGTTATGACTTGGAGATTAAGCGTGTGGTGTTGTGGAGACGGGTCCAAGAGTGGCGAGCGTGCTGTATTCCGCTGTGGTTTGGCTTCGGAAAATTATTGGCACCCAGGGGCGATGGCGCCTGTCGATTCAAAGCATCCTTGGTTGTCACCCAGTTCCAGCTGGAATTAGACACTCTGCAGTGAGCGGTGCATGTCGGGTCAATGTTTTCCGCCACCCTATGCTCCGTGCTCCGTGCCCTGTGCTCGGTATCAATCGTCAACTGATTGCCTGGCGCCCGTGCCGGCGCTGTGCTACCAAGCAACCTGCTGGGCTGCTGTACAGGATGCAGCACATCGGAATGTGTGACCCGATCCAGGCGCCCTGGTCACTGATGGACTCGCATGGTTGGTGGATGGGAGCCGTGGACATGGGCATGGACGTGGACGTGGACGTGGACGTTGGAGCCCATGTGGATGGATGGAGATGGATGGAGACGGATGGAGACTCCTGTCAGGGCCCAAGTTGACGTTGCGTTTTCTGCGGATCCAAGACCTTGACGGGTACTGGATACTTGTATGCATACCACCAGAGCGCATTGGCAAATGTACCATCTACTCCATCTATTGTCTCTGTTCAACTCCAATCCAAAAAGCGCAAACCTCCTTTGACGAAAGAACCAGACGGTTAGAATGCAAGGTGGACAAGACCCTGGTCTTCCACCCATGCCTTCGTTCTCCTCTTTGTATTTTTTGTTCTTCATTCGCCCGCTATTCGCTGCTCTCCTTGTTCTCTTTGCCCTCGTCTGGCCTTTCTTCCATTTCTTTCATCCCCCGATTACCAACCTACGCCCCGTCCTTGCTTCTGCCGCCCTCCTTTTCCCAACCCTCAGTTTTCGTCTTTCTTTTCCTGTGGCAGAAGTAGCCTCTCGTTAATCTAGTAAACCCATCTCATCTACTGCTCACCTTGCAGATCCCGAGCGTCGTCTCCGATTCCACCGCTGCCTCGAAAAAGCTCCTGTGGACTCGTCTCCCGTCGCGTAAAACTGGTGGTAGTGTTCCTCGACATTGCATTTTTATAGCGAGCCAGTCATTCTTCTTTCTTCCGCTTCTATTTCTTCCTCTTTCTCCTTTTGTTCTTGGTTTGCCCTTGAGATTTTCCATCTCCTTGGATCTCGCAAAAGAATACGCATAATTCACCTACGACTCCGCCGATCCTCTCCAATTGCTCTGAAACACGGGGCGTCAATCATCACGAGCTTTGCCGCCCAAGATCGACCACGGCGCGATTCGAGCTGGAGTGGACCACGCACACAAACTTATTGGTGACGGACACATTTTTTCTCTGGAATTCTCGTGTGTTATACAATAGTAGTTTTGCGCTCCCATCAAAACCACCTGGATCCAGAGTCTCGCAATTGTAACCCGCCGATTCGGCGACGGGTGCCACGTCGACGACTCACGCGCGCCATGACACTTCGTCCCACAGCTCTCGGAGCCTTGCTCTCCCGAGATGCTAGTGACCAAAAAGATGCTGGCCAGGAGCTTATCGACCTTCTGAAGAACCCGTTTGTGGCTGACAAGGTAGAATTTCTCCAAGGGAAGTCGCACATGTTGCTGATCGCTGACCATCTCATTCTGTAGCTTGCCACGACTTCCGTATACTCTGCCTTGGCCACATCCCTTGGTGTAACAGCATTTATCGCCATATGCTTCTCCTTCATTCGTCCATATCACCAAGCTATTTACGCTCCGAAATCAAAGCACGCAGACGAGAAACATGCGCCGCCGCCTATCGGAAAGGAACCATGGGCTTGGATCACGCCTCTTCTGAATACGAAAGAAGTTACCCTCATGAATCAGATTGGCATGGACGCGACTATATTCCTGCGCTTTATCCGCATGTGCAGAAATATGTTCTTGATTTTGGCTCTCATTGGTGTTGGCATTCTCGTTCCTGTCAATTTGACCAACTTCAAAGACTTTTCAACCTCCTCGCAACCTGACACAACCGAGTGGATGTTGAGAATCACGCCCCGCAACGTTTTTGGCACGCCTCACTGGGCTTTGGTGGTGGTTGGCTACTTGTTCAACATTGTTGTCATATCTTTCCTGTGGTGGAACTACCGCAAAATTCTTCACCTTCGCAGAATGTACTTTGAATCCGAGGAGTACCAAGGCAGCCTGCATGCTCGTACCCTGATGCTTTTTGACATCCCCCGTCAGGGATGCTCTGATGAAGGAATCGCGCGCATCATCGACTCTGTCGTGCCCAATTCATCCTTTGCAAGAACTGTGGTGGCCCGAAATGTCAAGGACCTTCCTGAACTGATAGAAGAGCACGAAAAAACCGTACGCAAGTTGGAAAAGGTTCTCGCTAAGTACTTGAAGGATCCGCAGAACTTGCCAGCAGCACGGCCAACTTGTAAGGCCTCCAAAAAGGACCGATCTTTTGATACCTACCCGTCGGGACAGCGACTGGATGCCATTGACTACCTCACACAGCGCATCCGAGACCTCGAAATTGAGATCAAAGAAGTTCGAGTTAGTGTGGACAGGCGCAGCACCCAGCCCTATGGTTTTGCCAGTTACTCGGAGATTGCAGAAGCGCACAGTATTGCGTATGCCTGTCGAAAAAAGAAGCCTCATGGAGCGACTGTGAGGCTGGCTCCCCGACCAACCGATATCATCTGGCGCAATATGCCTCTATCTAGTGCCACCCGTAGTCGAAGACGGTGGATCAACAATCTATGGATTGCCGCTCTGACTATTCTGTGGGTTGCGCCCAACGCCATGATTGCCATCTTCCTCGTCAACTTGAGTAATTTGGGCAAGGTATGGAAAGGTTTTCAGAGGTCGCTTGAGGCGCATTATGATATTTGGGGTGTTGTCCAAGGTATCGCCTCACCCGCCTTGACTTCGTTGGTTTACCTGGTTTTGCCCATGATCTTCCGTCGACTTTCTAGCAAGGCCGGTGACCAAACAAAGACTGGCAGAGAACGGCACGTGTTGGGCAAGCTATACGCTTTCTTTGTTTTCAACAACCTGGTTGTCTTTTCTTTTTTCGGTGTTTTATGGTCCTTCGTTGCTGGAGTAATCAAGGCCACTGAGGGCCAAGGCGATTCAAAGAAAGATGCGTGGTCTGCCATTCTCGACGGACATCTCGCCCAGAACATCGTCATTTCGTTTTGCAACAACAGCATTTTCTGGGTCACATATTTGCTTCAGCGGCAACTGGGTGCAGCTATCGACCTCGCCCAAATTTGGCCGCTCATTGTCGCCTTCTTCCAGAAAAAATTCTCGAGCCCAACGCCCAGAGAACTCATCGAGCTGACCGCTCCGCCCCCGTTTGAATATGCCAACTACTACACATATTTCCTCTTCTACTCGACGGTCACGCTTTGTTTCGGTACCATTCAACCGCTTTGTCTCCTCGCAACCGCCATGTACTTTTCCATCGACTGCTACCTCAAGAAATATCTGATTCTCTATCGATTCGTCACCAAGACAGAATCCGGCGGCTTATTCTGGCGAGTTGTTTTCAATCGCATGATACTTGGAGCTATCCTCGCTAACGGCGTGGTACTGCTCACAACATGGGCCCGTGGCGATGGCACGCACATGCAGTTTTATGCCGTGTGCCCATTGCCATTCATGATGATTGCATTCAAGATCTACTGCTCAAAGACCTTTGACGACAAGATGCGTTACTACAGTACCCGATACTCGGCACAGCACCCCGAAAGTGGGATGCAAGGCGATTCGCGAAACCGTAGCGACAAGTTGGCGAGTCGCTTCGGCCATCCTGCGCTCTACAAACCTCTCATTACTCCAATGGTGCACCAGAAGGCACAAAATCTCCTGCCTTCGGTGTACCGCGGTCGGCTGACAGATGGACGCGACAACGATGGTGGCGATCTGGCGACTGTCAGTGGTTACTCGGATATGTACGCATTGGATAGCATGAAAGGCGGCAAGCCGGGAAAGACGGCAAACGCTGTGCCCGGATTTGAATATGTCTCGGATGCACAAATGGATTTTCAGTATTATAAAAACCGAGCGGAATTTGCGGACGAACATGGTGGAGGCGAAATGTACGGCAAAGGAAGCGACATTATGCGAATGGGAACGCCAAGCTCGTTGGATGATGTGGGTAGTATCCGTTCCGTCTCACGTCCTGCCTCTCCCATGATGAGCGGTGTTGGCGGCCCCGGCCAGCCTCGTCGCGTCATGACAAACATGTCCATGTCCGACACGGCATACCCATCCTACAGGCCGTCCAACGCGGCATACGGACCGCCCTCGGACCCCGTCTCCCGCGGAGGCACACCATTATACTCCCACGACAACGGCAGCTCCTCCGGCCTGGTCCGCAACGCCGCCGCCATGGCTGCTCCGCCTGTCTTTAACTCCCGTGAGGGGTCCATGGAACGCGGTCGCATGACTCCACCAAGAGTACACTCGCCTGTCCCTCAGAGAGTTGGCTCTCCTCAAGTATCGCGCAGTCCTGCCCCAGGCCCTTCAATTGGTGCCATGGGCGGGGGTCCTCAGGGCTACAGTGGTCTTCAGCAGCTGGAGGAGGCGGACCCGTACGCGGACCCCATGCAGTATAATTACTTTAGAGGCGGAAGCGGGAATAAACCTGCTCGGCAGCCAGGAGAAGGGTGGTAGGAGATGGACATTAACTTGTTGTGAGATATTACTTGGCGTCGCGGTGTTACTGTGATAGATGCGTGGCGTTTTTGGGACAGACCCTTTGTATATCTGGAATAAACGATGGGAAACGGGCTACCGCTTGCAGGACCGAGTAGAGTACAACATGTATGACGATATTTGACGTTGGCGGTAAATATTAGATGAAAAGAAGCTGTTTTAATTACCTCTGTGATGGTACAAGCCTCACAGAGTCTATTTCTTCTTCTTTATTACTCATTACACATTAGACATTATTAAGTAGAAATCTAATGTGGGCTGGCCACATATCTTGCTCGTCGCGCCCTGTCATCATCCCATGCTGCGCACATTGCCCGTTGTCTCCCCCCCCCCCCCCCCCCGGGGGGGCGC